CCCCGGGGGGGCGCACCCTCCCGCGGAGGCGGCCGGAGCCGGCCGCAGAACCCAAGGCCTCGGTCAGGGCTGGCCTGGCAGGATGAGGAAGGACCCGGACCTGGGCGACAGGACCCCCACAGCTAACGGACCTGCGGGCAGGCATGGGGCCCCCGCTCCCCCAGGGACCCCCGAGCTGTCCGCGCGGCCAGGAGCCACCCACCAGGTCACAGTGTAGCTCCAGGTTGAGGTCGCCCCTGCTGGTGTGCAGCCGCACGTAACCCTTCTTCCTCACGTACTGGTAGCGCAGCACGTCCTCTTCGATGACGGCTGCGAACAGGCCAGGCTGCTCACCCGCCCGGACTGGGCCCACCGCCGCACGCGCAGGCTCAGCGCCAGACCAGACCGGCCGGGCCAAGGGCTGCCCCGGGGACCCGGGGCGCGGGGGCCGGGGGTCTCAGCAATTCCAGGGCAGATGGTGGCAACGCCTGGACGCAGGAGGGTGGGCAGCGTGGGGGCAGCAGGACTGGGGGCTCAGGTGACAGTGGGGGCCATGGACAGGCCGAGGACACGGGGCAGTGGGGCTGAAGATAGCCCTGGTGCTGGAGGACCAGGGTCGGGGTGGCCAGGGCAGGTGACCACAGGGACACAGAACCTCAAGGCAGGGCTGCGGCAATATGGCAGGGGTGGGGCCGGGGACCAGGACACGTGGCAGCCCGCCACCACACGAGCCCACCCTCAGGAGGCCCTTGGGTTGCCAGAGACCAGAGACCAGGAGGAACAGGCAGGGCCATGGCGCGTGCTCCAGGACGGCAGGTAGGGGAGGCCCTTCCCTGCACCGGGGACCGCGGAGGCCGGGGCAGCTACCTGCTTCGTGCGTGGTCTCGGGGACCATGGCGGTGGAGGTGAAGGATGCGCTGACCTTCCCCGTGGAGTAGTGCGCCTGCAAGAGCCACGCACATCAACAGGGCCGGGCCTGCCTCACCCTCCCCGCCGGCGCCTCGCCTCCAGGAAGGCTGCCCTGACCACCACCCTTGGGGCCCAGACAGGGTGCCGCAAGGCCCAGAAGCCAGGGCTGCAGTGACATGGAGCGGAGAGAGGCCAAAGCCTGGCCCCACGGCAGGGTCAGCCTGCTCAGAAGCCGGGGCCCGACTCCACTGGGTGCCAGAACTCCCAGTGATAAGTCAGCCCTGGAATTAAACCACCACGCAGGACGGCCCCTGCCCAGGTGGGAACATGAGTGACTATGCTGCTTTCTCCGTTTTGTTTTTTTGCTTTTTTTTTTTGGAGAGGTTTTCGCTATAGGGTGCGTGCGCTTGCCAGGAAGACAGAGACAGAGAGACAGAAAGCGAGAAATCACCCCCCAGGGGGGATGGCCACGCTGCAGTCCCTTCTCCTCCATTCTCCTCTCGGGATCCTGGGCACGCACACACATGCGCCCGGTGTGAGTTTTAAGCCACCGGGTCCAGGACGTGAACCGCAGTCGACTACGTGGGAGTCAGCGACATAGCCATTACGCCAACTGCTGATCCCGCCCTCCTACTTTTCTTTAAGAGACTTTTGCTATAGGCCATGTGTACTCGCAGGAGAGACAGAGATAGATGGAGACAGAAGGAGAAACCACCCTCCTCCCCGGGGAAGGGATAGCGATGCTTAATCCCTTCTTCTCTCGGGATCCTGTGCATGCACACACACCTTGAAGCATGAGCTTCAAGCCACCCAGTCCGGGACTCGAACCGCAGTCGGCCGTGTGAAAGTCCTTACCCACTATGCCACCTGCTGGCCCCACGTGTTTCTCTCTGAAGGTTTCGATTTTCCCAGAGAGCACGCCATCTCTAACCGGGGGAAAACCTCCAGCACCTTCTACATCTTTATCCTAAAGAACGGGTCTTCCTTCAGCAGGGAAGACCCGAGCGCTGAGCGCCGTGGTGTGTGAGGAATACGGATGACAACACTGCCTTGTTCTTTCTTTGTTGTTTTTAAGAATTATTTTAATTTAACTTTACTAGTTATTTGTTTTAATTTGACCAGAGAAAGACAGAGAGAAAAAGTGAGAAAGCAAGCTGCCAGGTCCGAGACTCGAACCGCGGTCAGCCATGTAGGAGTCCAGCGTCCTTAACTACCACACCATCTGCTGGCTCCCACGCTGCCTTGTTCTTATTTCCAGAGGCTTCTTTAAGGGAGGACCTGCCTGCCCCATGCTCTGCACCTCCTGGCTCCAGCTCACATGTACTGCCCAAGGAGGGGACAGAGGGCAGCCCAGGGCCCAGCAGCCCGGGCACAAGCCCTCACACCGTCCCTGAGCACGGGCCTCAGCGAGCGAGCAGGACGGCCCAAGTGGGTGGCCCCGAGCACCCCGCACTGCCAGCCCTGCTCAGCACAGCCCTGAAATGCCCCCATCTCATCCTATTTCCGCTCTAAGCACCAACTGGCCAATGATCCAGAGCTGGGGAGCCCCCGCACACTCTGAGGCAGCTGTGTACAAGGTACAAGCGAAGCCACCAGAACTGCCAGAGCCACCAGGCGGCTCCAGCCACCAACACGTCCACAAGCTCAGGCTGGCGCCAGAACATGAAGTGAACTCCCTAGGGCCACCGCCCCACAGAGCTGACCTCCTGTGCCCAGAGAGGCCTGCACGCCCTCCTTCTCGCCTGCCCAAAGCCAGGCCAACACAGGACATCCCCAACAACGGGGCGTCCCCACCCCCACCACGGTCCCCAGGAGCCCCTTCCCCGGGACCACGCCGAGGTGGGATCCCCATGAGCCAGGTGGGGTGACGGAGCCGCCCACTCACGGCGTTCAGCTTGTCCACTTTCTTCTTCTCCGGGACCTTCATGGTGGCCGCCAGGATCTCGTCCCCTTTGAACTCCTTGTAGAGCTCCTGCAGGGTCTCCCGGGTCTCGGTGTTGGTGTTTTTCAGATAGTAAGACGGGTCCTGTTTGGCCTTTTCTTCATCTACGAGACAGCGCCCCGGCCCTGAGCAGCGGAGCCCCAACTACATCCCCAGGGGCACGCGATGGGGACAGGAGTCCAGGGCCGACCGCAGCATCAACTCGGGCGGGCCAGCTCAGGTGCTCAGCCGTGCGGGGACTGGCCCAGAGAGGGGCTGGAGCAGAGGGGACAGGGGCAGGGTTAACTTCCATTTTCTTCATTCAATTCATCTGTACTTTTTTGTCTGTTTGTTTCGTAGTCGCCAGAGACAAACAGAGCCAGAGAGAGGGCGTATGAGAAATCACCCCCGGGGGGGACGGCCACACCACAGTCCCTTCTACATTCCCCTCTTGGGATTTGGGGCGTGCATCCACACAAGCTACCAGATCCGGGACTTGAACCATGGCCAGCGGTGTGGCAATCCAGCACCTTAACCACCACGCCACCTGCAGGCCCCTATCTGTATATTCTAATCTTCGTACAAGGCAGGTTTTGCTTTTGTGATTTTAAGATTCCTTTATGTAAAATATTAGCAGCATCTGGGATTTTCTGGGTGCGAAATGGGCTGAGAGCCAAAATTCACCCCGGGGGCAGGGTCAGCACCCAGCGTGCATCTCGAGCCACCAGGTCCGGGACTGGAACTACGCACATCATGCGGGAGTCCAGCAATGTAACCATCACACCATCAGCTGGTCCCCGCCCCACATTCTACTGGGGTCGCACATGGTCACTGCCCAGTAGCCAGGGTGCTGTCCCCTGTGCGGAACCCACTGATCCCAAGCACAGGCCCTGCTGGCACCTCTGAGGCAGAGGGAGGTCGCGAGTGAGCCAGCCAGGCCTCCCTCCCCCACGACCTGCTCACCAGCAGTGCGGGCTGGCCCGAGGGAGAGAGGGACGAAGGGCCCCGCGGGCCACGGGCACAGGTCTGCGGCGACACCCCCACCAGCCCGCCCTGGACAGAGCCGTGATGGGTGGGAAGCCAGGGAGGCGCGCAGCCCACGGGCTGAGGAAGGGCCAGTGCAGAGGGCCTGGGTGGGCGGAGACCCGGCCCCACTGTCCCCGCACGGCTGTCGGCTCTGACACTTCTGAGCCCTGGAGGCTGAAGGTGGGTTCAAGCCCATCCAGGCTGGAGCCAGGCCCTCGCACTCCCTGGCCCCAGGAAGGCGAGTGCTCTGCCAGGAAGGGTCTGTTCTGTGTTCTTGGTTTTAGTTTTGCCAGAGGGCATGTGTGCTCGCCAGGGCGAAAGGGGAAGGGGGAACGAATCCCCCAGCGACGTGGAGTCACGTCAGTCCGCTCTCCATTTCCCCGCCCTGCCAGGAGGTTGGACACGCGTGCACACGAGTCTGTGTTCTGGCCTTCAGTGTGTTAAAGAGCGCGTGCGCGTACTGGGGGGAGACGCAGGGAGGGAGGGAAGCAGGAAAGCACCCCAGGAGGAATGGCCGTGCCACAGTCCCTCCTCCAGCTCCTCTTAGGATTTTGGGCACACGCCTGCCTGAGTGTTCCTCAAATTCCTACCACGCAGTTGGCCGTGTGGGGTCCAGCACCTTAACCACCGTGCCGCCTGCTGGCTCAGCCCGGTGTGCTTTTCCAGTCCAGACTTGAACCACGTGATCGGCCACGTGAGCTCCGGCTCCCCTAAGCCCAGGCCACGCGGCCAGCCCAGGGAGCACGTCTCTATTGCTCAGACCCCCTCCGCAGACCAGGCCCCGGTCACACATACCTGGGTCTATCACCTTCATGTTATTCTTCACGTGAAAGAAGTTGGAGACGTTGAACTTGTCCAGATTGGTGGGGTCCTGCGGCAAAGCGGAAAGCACAACCGTGAGCCCGCGCCACGGCAGCCCCAGCCTGCGGCCCGCCGCCCGTACCCAGCAGGGGGTGGGAGAGTGGGCGCCGTGCTGAGCGCCGGGGGTTAACAGGATGGAGGGGTGCTCCGCCCCGGGGAGGGTGCCTAGTAGGCGTGGTCTGGGGACAGGCCAGCAGGCTGTCTGCTCACACCAGGTCTGCTCCCCCGGAGCCCCACAGCCTCGGAGCATCCCTGCTGTTCAGTCACCACGGGAAGCCCCAAGTTATGGCTGAGGGAAGTGGGCAGCCAAGGGCGGGACACGCCACCAGGGGGCGCTAACTGCGCCCACGGGCCTGCCCAGGCCACAGCTCCACCCAGGCCCTACCCTACTGTGCTTTCTCCCTGTCTTTTTAAAAGTTTGCCACAGGGCACACGCACTTGCCAGAGAGATACAGAGAGGGCGAGAGAGCGAGCGAGAAAGAGAAAGCACTCCTGTGGGGGCTGACCACGCTGCCCGCTGCTGGTCACCGTCTCGCCAACGCCCACTTCATGACCATCAGGGTGACCGGCCACGTCGATGCCTAGGTGGCGGCCTGCTGACCACGGTGTGGGTATGGTTGGTGAGGACGGTGACCAGCACCGAGCATTGGCATTTACCTGCGAAGGCGCACACGGGGAGGCCGTCCCCCTGCGGGCCGTGAGCACCCCGTGAAGACTGCTACGCTCCCTGCTCAGGGCTCTGGTCACACACACATGCCCAGCACGCTTTCCCTGCTACCGGGTGCGGGACTTGAACTGCACAGCCAGCCACGTGGAATCCAGCCACCTTACCCACCACACTGGCCCCACCCTGCTTTTCTAAGTGGAAATCATTACCAGTTCACCCTCAGTTCTCTGACACCTACAGACATGCCCTGGCCAGACACTGGGCAAAGGCCCCCAAGGCAGAGCCGGCCTGCAGCGCCGCCGCTCCAGCGCCAGAGACGGCCTTGGGCAGAGCTGGGCCTGGGCACGGGGCAGGGCCCCGGAGGAGGAAACGTGGGTGCCCGACAGAGGTGGCCCATGCCAGGCCCAGTGGCCAAGGTCACCGAGGGGCAGCTGGGGCACCCGGCAGGGTCACCGGGAGAACACAGGCTGGGCCCACAGAGGCTGCGGGAGGCGCCCCCTGCGGGAAGGGGACGCACCTGCAGGGTGATGATGTCCTGCCGGGTGAAGGGCTCGTCGGTCAGCAGGTCTCGTAAGTTCTTGGCCTTGATGTTCAGCTCCTCCACGGCCTGCAGTGCGAGGGGGCAGTGTCACGGCGCCCACCTCAACCCTGCACGGCCGGCCGGGCCATGGCAGCCGCTGAGAGGTGAGGAGATGGAGGCAGACGGCGTGGGGTCTGCACGGCCCACAGCAGCAGCCATGAAGGGCGGGCCTGCACTCGGCCCTCTGAGCACGTCCCGGGAAGCTGGCGGCGCCTGCCTCGCAGACCAGCGCTCGGGCGGAGAGCCACTCACCCCGCACTCCTGTCCCCCGGCACTCCCTCACAACGGCCCAAGCCCCAGGAGGGCAGTGAATGAGCACCTTGACCCCGTCCTTGGGGACCAGCGGTCGGGTAGTGCCCTCGCTCCATGGGGGGCTCACCACACCTGCTCTGGGAGGACACTGCCCCCAGAGGCTGAACCCCACAGATGTCCAAGCTCCCCTGGCACGTGGGCCTGCACCCCACACCCCCGAACAGGACAGTGGGTAGAAGCCGCTGCCACCCTCTCGCTGCACCCTCGAGACGGCTCCCTCCCAGGGTCCGTGCCTGGTGCTCTCCTCCCAGCCCTGGGCCTGGTCTCGGCACAGCCTCCCTCGCCTGGTCTGTGCCGAACCCTGCTCAGCGGCCAGAAGCACCTGGACTTCGGGTCTGGGGGCCATGGAAGGCCCCTCCCCACGGCCTCGGCTGGTCGGAAACAGGAAGGTTTCCCAGCCAGAGCCCCGGCAGGACCCCGCCATGCTGGGAGCCGCGTGGGACTGGCGGCACCCCCAGAGCACACGCCTGAGGCCTCCCGGCCGGGGGCGAGAACCCACCTCGTAGGCATAGACGTTGCCGGTCGTCTTGATGGCCACGATATGAGTGTTGTTGGTGAAGACGGTGAACAGCACCGGACAATGGTATTTATCTGGAAAGGCACACAGGGAGGCGTCGCCCACACGCCGTGCGCACCCCGTGAAGACCACGGGGGCCAGGGCAGCTGACACATCGGCCGAGGTCAGAAAAGGGGAGACGGACCCCACCCCACTGCCCAGAGCTGAAGGACGGCAGCCGCTCAAGGCCCTCCCCACTGCACCATTAGTAGACTGCTACTTGGAACCAGCAGGGGGCGTGGTAGTTAAGGTGCTAGACTCCCGCATGGCTGACTGCGGTTCGAGCCCCAGACTTGGTAGCTTCAAACATACCGAGCACGTGTGCCCAAAATCCCAAGAGGAGAATGGAGGAGAAGGGACTCCCACATGCCATGCGCCCTGGGGGGTGATTTCTTGCTTTCTGTCTCTCTGGTAAGCATACACACCCTACAGCATAAATCTTTCACAAAAAAAAAAAAAGAAAGAAAGAAAGAAAGAAAGAAAAAAGAAAACTCCTACTTGGGACCAGCAGGAGCGTGGTGGTTAAGGCGCTGGACTCCCACATGGCTAACATGGTTTGAATCTCGGCCCAGCAGCTTGAAACTCACGCTGGGTGCGTGTGCGTGTGTGCCCAAAACTCCAAGAGACTGGAGAAGGGCCTGCAGCACGGCCACCCTCTCTGGGGGGAGTGATTTCTCGTTGTCTTTCTGTCTCTGTCTCTCTGGCGAGCACAGACACCCTAGAGCAAAAATCTCTCCCCCCAAAAATGAAGACTTCTACACATCCCGCAGGACCCAACCCATGCATCATCCTTCTCAGAGGAGCTGGCTGCACTGACCTCCAGCTCACACAGGGTGACCACCAGGACAGCCACGCCACCACCTCCTCCTCGTGAAGGTGGCCACAGTAAGACATGGCCTGTCCTCCTAGGGACCCGGCCTTGACGACTTCCTGCTCGCACCCCCGCAGCCACCCTGTTGGCTCTCGGAACCCCGGCCCCCTGCCCAGGTTACTGCAGTAAACGGTCTCCCTGCTCCAACAGTTTCTATGCTGGGGCTGGGGTCCCTGTCAGCCACGTCCCAACAAACTCCAAAAAAATAACCTGGGCAGGGGACTTGTAGATGAAGAGACTTAGAGGGACCAGCAGATGGTGTAAAGGTTACGGCGCTGGACTCCCAGAGTTGACCACGGTTCAAGCACTGAACCCAGAGGCTTGAAACACACCAGGCACGCCTGCATGCATGCCCAAAATCCGGAGAAGATGATGGAGAAGGGATTGCGGTGTAGCCATCCCCCTGGGAGTGATTTCTCGCTCTCTGTCTCTCCTTCTCTCCAGCAAGCGCACATGCCCTGTAGTAAAACTCTCTCTTAAAAAAGGAAAAAAAGGGAACCAGCAGTTGGCGTAATGGCTATGTCGCTGGACTCCCACATAGTTGACAGTGGTTCGTGTCCCGGACCCGGTGGCTTAAACTCACGCCGGGCGCATGTGTGTGCATGCCCAAGATCCTGAGAGGAGAATGGAGGAGAAGGGATTGCGGCGTGACCATCCCCCCTGGGGGGTGATTTCTCGCTTTCTGTCTCTCTGTCTCTCTCTGTCTGTCTGGTGAGCGCACGCGCCCTATAGCGAAAACCTCTCTCCAAAAAAAAAAAAAAGAGAGAGAGAAAGAGAGAGAATCAGAGACATTAGCCACACACATTTGTATAGACTTTTAAAAAATCCTGCCTTGGGGCAGCCCTGCAGCCCGGCGGTAGAAGGGGCCGGATTCCACATGGCCCGCTGCGGTCTGAACTCCAGCCCCAGCAGAGTAAAAACCACACCAGGCCTCAAATACCGACAGGACGGAGTACAGAGAAGGGTTGGCGGCATGAGCACGCCCTGCTAGGGCTGCTTTCACTCTTTCTCTCGTTCTCTCTCTGGCAAACGCAAATGCCCCTGGCAAAAAGAAAAAGAAAACAAATCCTGACTCAAAAACTGATAAACACAATGCTGCCCCCGGCCCCGGCTCCTTAAACATGCCGGTGCCTGCCAGGGTCTCGGGCTGCCTGGGGGCTGACTGCAGATGGAGACTCTACTGGAGAGATGTCTCTGCAGAGCTGTCTCTCTGCCCCTCTCACTCACTCATGAAGGAAACTTTATTATAAAGTATTTTTGGGGAGCCAGACCCATAGCCTGATGGCTAAGGAAGCTGACTGTCATGTGGCCAAGCACATGGTTCGAGTCCTGGCCCCAGGCCTTGACTCACACACCAGAAGCATGTGTGTTCCTACCCTGGAAAGGAGGGAGGGGGAGGGGAAGCGACTGCAGTGTGGCCACAGCCCCTGGGAGGGAGTGGAAGGCCTCTCTGGCAAAAAAAGAAAATTAAAAAAAAAAAAAAAACAGAGGGGCCAGCAGATGGAATAGCAATTATTCACTGGACTTCCGCACGGTCAACTGCAGTCTGAGTCGGACTTGAGGGGCTTGAAAATCAGACCAGGTGCGTGTGCGTGCGTGCCCAAGATTCCTAGGAGAATGGAGAAGAGGCGGCGGCGTGCCCCCCCCCCGCTGATTTCTCTCTCTCTCCCTCATTGTCTGTCTGTCTGTCTCTCTTACAATCACATGGGCCCTAACACCAAAACCTCTTAAAAGAAAAGAAAGAAAAAGAAGGATCAGCAGATGGCACAATGGTTACGTCATTGGACTCCCCCATAGTCAACAGAGGAAATTCAAGTCCTGGACCCAGCTGCTTGAAACCGACGCCGTGTGCGTGCGTGCGTGTGGGGGGTGGTGTGTGTGTGTGTGCATGTGCCCAAAATCCTGAGGAGAATGGAGGAGAAAGGATTACAGCATGGCCATCCTCGTGGGGGGTGATCTCTCGCTTTCTCTACATCTCTCTGGTGAGTACGAGCACCCTATAGCAAAAATCTTTCTCTCAAAAAAAAAAAATGTAATGCCCTGGACCCCTAAGAGAAACCGCGTGACATCTTCGTGCAGATCAAAGGCTAGGGTCCGGCTTGATCAGAAGGGAGTGGCCCAGGTGAGGCAGCACAGGGGGAGGGGGCGACAGCACCACACCAGAGCCACATGGGAGGCCCGGGTTCAGATCTTGGGGCAACCTGAACACGCCAGTGCACGTGGCATCAGGACCCTGTCGAGAGTACGTGTGTGTCACTCCCACATGAAAGAAATCAAATAACTTGGAGACCGGCAAATGGCGTAATGGTTACGTCGCTGGACTCCCATGTAGTTGACCGGGACTTAAGGATTTCAGTTCTGGACCTGGCAGCTTGACATTCACGTGGGGAGACCAGCAGTTAGCGTAATGGCTATGTTGCTGAAATTCAATGTAGCCGACCACGGTTTGAGTCCCAGACCCGGTGGCTTAAACTCATGCCGGGCGTGTGTG